TATATATATATATATATATATATATATATATATATATATATATATATATATATATATATATATATATATATATATAATTTAAAAAGAATAACAAAATTGTGTATTCATAAAAAATTTATGTATTCACTAATCATAATTGTCTCATACTTTTTTTATAAAAACATATCATTTCTTGGTATAAATATTAACTTTTTATCATTAAAAAACCTAATGTTTTTTCAAGTCAATTATTATTTTTTCTTTAAAAATATTATTATTTATATAAAATTAAATTTAAAAATTAAATATTTGATTTTATTATTTTATTCTTTTCAATTCTTATTTAAAAAATATATATTTATCTCATTTTAATTTTCATACATACGCACTTGATATTGCTCAACTAACCTCCATGTTTCTAAATATCTAAAGAATATACAATATTAATAATAATAATAATAATAATAATAATAATAATAATAATTATTATTATTATTATTATTATTATTATTATTATTATTATTATTATTATTATTATTAAATTATAATAAATTAGTATTTAATTGATTTTGATAATTTCTTGTTACATAAAAATTTATTTAAGCTACAATCACGTTTTTAAATATTTATTTTTAATTAATTTACAATAAATACTAATTATTAATTTTTAATGACTTTACATATATAAAAAAAATCTAATACCCACATTTTCAATTAACATATTTTTTTAATTAATTCCGTTACCAAAAATTATACGAATATATTTGATATAATTTGGTAATTATTATTAAACAAAATATATGGTGGAACAACATGTTTGACCCGTCGGATATTTCTATAATTTTTATAATTACTTATAATTTTTTCTATTAACAAATATTATAAAATAAAATATATTATACACCAACAAAACATATTGGTATAATAACAAATTAAAAAGTTGATAAATAATTTGATTAGATTTAATAAATTGAATAATATTATGTTTGTGAAATTGTATAGTAATTTAGAAATTATATGTTATAGTAATTCAAAAGTCATTAAATATATAACTTTTAATATCTATTTAACTTAAATAAATATTGTTAAAAATAGTAATTTAAAATTTAATTGGTGGAAAAAATTTTCAATCCCTCCAAAAAAAAAAAGTAATTTAAACGCTAAGGTGAGTAAAAGATTTAATCACATTCAGCGTTTGACCATATTTGAAAAAAAAAAAAAACTGTACATATAATATTTTTTATTAGAAGGATTATATCATATCATATATTCTTATATGATTTTCTATAAAGTATATGATATTTTTTTTAAAACCTAAAAAGTATTGAATATTTTTGTATAGAAGAATTCTTGTTAAAATCTAAACTAATAATGAAGGATTCTTCTTATGCTAAGCTGAAACTTTATACTGTCGACTAATAAAATCTTGTACAAATAATAAATCTTCGAATATTTAATAAAATGTGGAGTTGATTTACTTATATCATATAATGATTATTTGTTATCTCTTCGATAATTTTCTTTAATATTAAAAATATAGAAAATGAAATATTTCTATACACGATAACAAATATATTTTCTATTTAACCATCTATTTATTTAAAAGATTTGAAATAATTAAATATAAAAAACATAAAAATTAAATAAATATATTAATTAAAAATAATATTTTTCCTGTTTAGAATAAGAGGGACAATTATATATTTAAAACTAAATTTTAGTAATATTAGGAAATAATAATTGATAGAAATAAAATAATAACTGTTCATTAATAGTTTTAATTAAAAGAGACCAAAATATGGTGTTTAATTTAATGTTATATTTGCATAGAAAAATAATGACTTTTATTTTTGCATAGAATCTATGACAGATAACAATTGTTGAAATCTTTGACAAATAAAAAGTTCTTGAAAAAATAGAATGTGATTTTTTATTGAAATATTTTTTATTTTAATTTATTGAATAATAATAATAATAATAATAATAATAATAATAATAATAATAATAATAATAATAATAATAATAAAAATTGAAAATATACGTATTTAATGTCTTAAAAATTAAAATGGTAAATAATTTTATAAAATATTTTCTTTTTTAAAAAATGTTTAAAGAGTATCCTGAAGACATAGCAACCCCTAATAATAATAATTAGAGGAAATATATATATATATATATATATATATATATATATATATATATATATATATATATATATATATATATATATATATATATATATATATATATATATATATATATATATATATATATATATATATATATATATATATATTTGAATCTAATAAATGATTATTTAATTATAATAATAATTAGAGAGATATATATTAGTTAAACCTAATAAATAGTGATTTATTTATAATAATAATAATAATAATAATAATAATAATAATAATAATAATAATAATAATAATAATAATAATAATTAAAAAGATATATATTAGTTAATAAATAGTGATTTAATTAATAATAATAATAATTAGAGAGGGGATGAATGATTTTATCAATAAAATAAGTAACAAATTTTGACGTTTTAAAAAAAAATATAACACAATTTTCAATTTTTATTATCCAATTTACATGAATAAATTTCATGTAATGGATTGTCGTGGCTATCCGGTAGTTTATCCACTTTATCATATTTATTTATTGATGGTGAAAATAATTTTATTGGCAGCGTCCTTGTCATTCCAAAATTTCTTTTTCTCTAACAAAATCTCATGTATTATAGTATTTTATTATTACGATATATTGGCATGTACACAAAAGATATAAACTTTAACTAACTACTAACAAATTACTAACTAATTTCAACTATAATACACATAGAAAAGCAAAATAAACAATTAAATTGCAAACTGACAGACAATGAAGCTTAGAAAATAGCAACCAAATTCATTATTGAACAAAATCAAATGAAAATTACCTCAGGAAGCTGATGTGAACGTCGAGGCTTAGATGAATTGCAGAGCAATCAATGCAGAGGAAGATCTCATATAAAACTAATATCCACGTAGAGTTCTTCGCATTACAATCAAAACACGTCTGAAACAAAAAAAAATTATCACAATTTCATAAATCAAAAGAACACGTAGATCTGAAACATTGCAAAATTGTAAAAGAACGGACACACATAAAATTAAAAGAACTATATATACCACTTCAAAAGAATTTTTGAATGTTTCCAATGAACATGTATTTGCAGAGGTTTTGTAGATGGGTGGATGAGAGAACGAAAAATTTGATATAGTAGAAAAGAAAAGAATAGTAGTAGATGAAGTGTTGAGGCTCGTAAAGGTTGGGATTGTTTCAAATGGAAAATCAATTTTTTTTTTTCTTCTAAAAGTTGCATGTTTTCAGAGATATATTTTTAATATATGTATTGTAAATGTAGATTCCAATATATGAAACAATTAAATCAATATTTAAAAGATGATTAATGACTAGGTAATGTAATAACATTTAGGTCATTGATAAATCATCTTAAAATTGATTTAGTTTAGTTAATTAAGTAATTTTGGTGGTAATTATTTTTATATATTAAAAGTAGACTAAATCAATAATATAAATACATAAATTTTTGGAAATTATAATATTAATTAAAATATTTATACACAAATATCAAGTAACAAACATGTTCATTTTTCTAAAAAATGAAGAGAATCTCTATATTATACTATTGAAATTTTTTACATAATTAAATTAATCATATATAATAACTTCAATACCATAAAATTGGACTAAAATTGAACTATTAAAGTCTATGTAATATTTTTAATTCTTCAAATATAATTATTAGATAAATTTTTGGTTACAGTACAATTCCATGTCCTTGTTAGAAAAGAACCGATTAATGAATTATATTTTCTTATAACTGGGACCGTTTAGTTGAACAGCTAAATCATGTTTAAGATCGCCTTTTAAACTTGGGACCGTTTGGTTTAACCACTGAATCATGTTTAAGATCGCTTCTGAGAGAAACGGGAAAGACCCACAAGGATAAGGTTATGGTTAGTTTTATGTTTAGAGTCGCTTACATAATTCCAGATTGATTTGATTTAATTAGTAGTTTCTAAAGTTATGTTTGAGAGTTTAAAGAAGAGGAGAAAGTTTTAAAAAAAAAAAATTTAAATATATAAGTTTTTTCTATATTTTTTAAAAAAAAAAGTTTGTTTAAAATGATAAATAATGTTTATTATTAATGTATTTTTACTTTTTAAAAAATTATAACAACAAAAATTGTATTTGAGCAATTTGTATAAGCCCTTCAAAACTCTCTAAAATCTTCTTCTAATATAAATTTTAAGTTCTTCCAAATTAAAGGATTTTTGATGTTATGAGAAGAAAAAAATCCTCCAAAACTCTCCTAACCAATCGTTTCTATTTTTCAAAGTACTCCATCCCTTCCAAGTTGAAAGAGGAAAAAATATCAAAACTAAAACTAGAGTTTTTTTTTGTCAAGTAACAAGTGACTAAAATTCACCATTTTTAGAGGTGTAAAGGTGGACAAGTGAGATGTCGTGGATTCAAAAACACACCCTACACTTGATATCCCAAGACAGCTATCAACTGAATTGACTTACCAGAACAAGACAGAGTTTTTTCTTTAAGAGAACTTGGACTGGGTTTTTTTTAAGAGAACTAAAACCCAATTTTGTGTTTAAATGCATTTCATAATTACCATAAATAGGCAACAAAGTTGTAGGAGCTCGCTTACACACAAGATGAATTAAACACATCAAACTTTATTCACTCAGAATAAAAAAATTGCTTTCAATATTTTCAAGAAAAGTACAACAGGAACTTTGGGGTACATCTAGAAGGTCACAACACAATAGGAATAGGAACAAGAAAAGCAGATGCAGGAAACAAACATCAAGAAAACAGGGATGCTCCCAAATTACATATTCAAAGCTATACAAAGATACCCTATGTTACAGAATGTGCATTCAAATCAATATATCATAATAATACTTGAGTAAAAAATTATCCGTGGTTAATTAAATTCTAAATCCCAAACCAGGCCACCTCTTGGTACTCTCCTTCTTTGTCCTCTTTGAATTTGGATCAATCAGGTTTTCCAAAGATTTTGCTTTTCTGTCTCGTGTCTTACCAGCTTCTTTCAGCAACTCAGCCAAACGCCGCTTCTCATCTTCAAAATCAGGATTTGCTATTCCAAGCTTCTCTTCCCTCAACTTTAAAACATATTCTAAGATTTCAATTGCATCTCCAACCCTGAACCAGGCCATCATACAAAGGGTTTCTTTAACATCAAACAATACATATAGCCTCTTTAGATTGGCTTAATTTAGTTTATCTACCTACTTACATAAGCTCAAGCCTATTTGGGAGAACTGGGTATGTTTGAATTGATGGAATGTGACGAAATGGAGCAAGGGAAGGGCATAAAACGAGGTCATGTTGTTTGGATCAATTAAAATCAGATGGAGCAGAGCGGAATGAAGAATTTGCCTTGCCCCGTTCTAAAATACCCAAACGATGGATCAAATCTTCATTCTGCTGCACTCCATCCTGCTTCATTACATTCAACTCCATTCTATTCCGTCTCATTCCATTCATAACATGTTCATAACCTATTTTCATAAACTCTCTAGGATAGCTTATACAAAAGCAATTTAACCTAATTTTATCTTTTGTTATATAAACAACTTATGCATAAGAACTTATGTTTATGCTATACATGGTAAGTTAAGTTAGTTATCCAAACATGGTAATAATCTTGCATCAAACGTAAAATTGTTAAAAAGAGAAAGGGAAATTCAATTATATTTATACCTTCCCATTGCATCATAAGTTGCTGCAAGATTGCTATAAACTCCAAGAGTATCTTGATGACAATGTCCACACTCTTGTTCAAGAATTCCTCTAGCTTCCTCAAACAACTCAGCAGCTTCATCAATCTTAAACAATTGCACGCAAGCCAACCCCATTTGGTTCAAAACAACCCCAAAAAATGCAGATTTCCTTTCCCCACTGGTTCTCAATTTCAACACAGCACTCTCAAACACGCTTCTAGCTTCATCATACTTCCCAATCATGTAATACATCACTCCCATCCGCGCTTCTATACCCGCAATCGTGCTCTGCTGTCCAGGTTTATCCTCCAACAATTTCATTGCCTTCTGCAACAGCTTCAACGCCTCCTCCGGATCATCAACAGATTCAAATATAGCCGAAACCTCCGTCAAACCACCAGCAATCTCTTCCGCGGTCGTCCCAGGAACTGGTTTAGAGTATATCCTAAGCGCATTTTCACAATAAGACTTCGACTCACGAAGCTTCCCTGTCCTATGATACAAATCAGCCAACCGAACAAACACAGACGCAACCGACGGATGATTCTCTCCTTTCGCTGATTTAAACACAGTAAGCGCTTTCTGATAAGAAAATATGGCTTCATCAAATCGACACAGCGCCATATAAATATTCCCAATGCTGACATCAATGGAAGCGACTTCAGTATCTTGTCCATTCGCAATCATGGCCATGCTGGCCAAAACAAGATGCTCCAACGCGGGCTCGTAATCTCCCTTCGCCTCACAAATCAACGCCATAAGCCTCCGATCTGCAGCCTCCTCGAGCGAAGCAGGCTCACTATGCGCACGATGGATCTCTAAAGTTTTATTACAAAGCTCCTCCGCTTTATCGAACTGCATCGCCTGAACATTCGCCTCCGCCAAGTACCGACACGTTTCCCCCACGCGCGGATCGGTTTCACCTAGGGTTTGCATCTGAATCTGAAGACCTTGATCATAACAAGAAATCGATTTATCAACTTGACCTAGCATAGAGAAAGTATCACCTAACTGCATATAACCGGAGAAAGCGGCGAGAGCGTGATCGGCGCCTATTTTGATATCGGGAACAAGGATCGCTTGTTCGAGGACGGGTACGGCTTCTTCGAAGCGGCTTAAGCTACAGTAAATCGCGGCTAGGACGTGGAGGCTCATGGCGAAGTCGAGACTGGGGATGTTATCGACGGCGCAGCGTTCGAAGGATTTGGAGGCGCGGATGGCGTAGTCGAGGGCTTTGGAAGGTCCATCGCCGGAGGCGATGGTGTCGCGGGCGAGTTTGAGTAGGAATGGGCCGAGATCTGGGTTATCGAGTGAGGCTTCGGAGAGGAGAGTGGTGGTTGGAGTTTCGGGTGTTTTCTTTTTGGAGCGGGAGGAGGGAGAGGGGGAGGGTGGTTTTTTGGGGAGGGGTGAGGGGGAGGGTGTTTTGGTGGTGGAGTCGGATCTTTGGGGGGTTTCGGGTAAGGTGATTCGGGGCGGAGGTCCGCCGGGGGAAACGAGACCTGGCATGGTGAGTGAGTGTGTGGAGATGGATGGATGAGTGACAAGTTGGAAACGGTTAGAAAAAGAACGGAAATGTGAGGAGGAAGAGGTTTTTGTAGATGAGATGTCTTTTATGTGATTTTGATTATTGTGGTGTCAGAAGGTGGAAGCTGTGATGGAGTTTTCGTTCTTTTACTTGTGTTGTTACTTCTTCTTCAACGTCTCTCAAATCTACCTGTCAGAAGGGCTAGTTTTGTCATTTCACTCTCTCTCTCTCTCATCTTTTATAGCTATGGACTATGGTTTGTGACTTTGTCTACTCGTTGTTGTTGTTTGTGGATTAACTCAAATTATTATTAAGGTTAAATACACCATCTCTTCTTTTTTCTCATTTGAATTTGATAAAATGAATTTACATTAATATTTTAACTAAACTTAAATCAATGTTAATTTGACTTAAATTTTTTGGAAATATTTATACATATTCACTTTTATCTAAGTGAGGTGAAATTGGTGAATCATTAATCAAGTAAGTCACATAATAAAAGTAAGATTAAATTGTTTTGGGTCAATTCTAATATAAAATTCACCAAATGTTTGTTTTTGAAAATTAATAGAAGATTTAAATTTTTAAACAAAATAAAGAATTAAAAATATGTTTAAGTTTAATTATTAATTAATAGTCTATTAAATATATATTCACTTTTATTTAAGTAAGCTTGTGACATGATAAAAAGTAGGATTAAATTATTTTATAAATCTTAAAATAAAATTAATAAAAATTTATCATTGAAAATTAAAAATTAAAATTAAAAAATATTGATTTTTTTTAAATAAAGATTATATATAATCAAAAACAGTTTTACACACAAGCGCGACACAAAGGGTCTAGTAAAAAATAAATTAACAGACACTTAAGACAACATAAGTTGCATTATTCTTTCTCTATATTTAAGGTACATCCACATTCTATTCACTATATTTTCTATAATTCTATGTTCCGTTTATTATCTTTATTCACTTTGTTTAGACAGTATCATTTCTTTGCGTCCACACTGCATAAATGATCTCAACTATCGTTATCTTCGTGATCTGGCTTCTTCAGTTTTTGCTCTTGTAAATTCTTGTAAGCCAAATAAGCTCATGTTCCATCCTTGAATGATATGCTTTACATTCCCATCTAAAAATGTTCTTCCAAACCAGCTTAGTGTACCCGCACTCAAATAAAAGATGCTGAATATTTTCAACACAATCACAGAACTCACATTTTTGGTCTGTCTTGACACCAAATTTCAACAATCTCTCCTTAGTGGTTAATCTTTTGTGGCACGCAAGCCAGAGCATAAACACTTCCCTGGGCCTGGCTTTATTCTTATACATAATCCCTTTCCAATCCACCTTTGGGTGATGTTGTAGGAATTTAACATAGAAAATTTTCATCTGGAAATTCCTAGTTTGCTTAAACAGTTCCCAGTTCTTCATATTGTTCACTTCATTTCTCATTTTCAGAATACTCTTTAGGATCCAAGAGTCATTATCCTTAATTTCCATTTGCATCAGATCAGTATTCTTGGCATAATAAGTATGCACCCAACGAACTCAAAGGCTATCAGCCTTACTACATAAGTTCTAGAGCAACCGAATCAAATAGACTTTGTTCCAGACATGCAGGTTGATAATGTCCAACCCTCCTTGAAGCTTTGGAAGGCACATATTCTCCCAAGCAATTGGAGATTTTCGAGTGATGACATTTTTACTAGACCACACAAAAGACCTGCACATAGCTTCCAACTTCTTAATAACCCCTTTAGGCAAAGGGAGACAACTCAACCAGTAGTTAGAAGAGCCCATGACAACACTCTTCACCAGATGCACCATGCCGCATAGCTGAGTAAATGAGAACTTCAATGCTTCAACTTCTCCCCAATTTTATCAGCAAGGGCCAAACACTGAGTATTAGACAACTTCCTGCTAGTTAGGGGGATGGCCATATATCTGAAAGGGAGATCCCCTTTGCAGAAAACAGTAATCTTCTCTATTTCAATCTCCTTTTTCTTCTCCATTCCAACACAAAACAACTTGCATTTTCCTTGGGTTAACATGCAACCCTGAAGACATAGAGAACTCTTGAAATCTATCCATCATCAACTAACATAGATATTATCACCCCCTTGAAAACATTAAAAGGTCATCTACAAAGCTAAGGTCTGGAATCTTAACTTTTCACACTTATTGTGAAAGTTAAAGTGAGGAATTATGCTTAAACATTCCAATTTTCTATGAAGATACTCCATAACAACCACAAACAACAAGGGGTAAATAGGATTCCCTTGTCTTAAGCCCCTAGCTTCCTTCATATTATCAGTAATTCTCCCATTGATATTAAAATAATATGACAATATAGTAACAACCAGCATCACCCATTTGACGAATCTTCTAGGAAAACCAATCTGAGCAAGGATAGTTTGCAGAGCCCTCCAATCAACAGAATCATAGGTCTTCCTAATATCCATCTGCACCATACATCTAGGCATCCCTCTCTTTTTGTTGTACCCTTTAGTCAGCTTATAGGAAATCAGGACATGGTCATGGATTTTTTGACCAAGCGCAAATGCTGCTTGGTTCTTGCTAATTATAATCCCCAACACCTTACTCATTCTATTAATATTAATTTATAAATATTAATAGTTTTTCATATTAATATATAAATACAAATAAATGTTGTTGTTAAAAATTAAATTATAGATCAACAGTTTGCACTTATTTAACTCAACTATCATCTAACAATTAAGCTATTTCACTCAAAATAAAAATTAAAAATATATTTATATTTAATTATTAATAATAACCTATGTTATGATTAAGATTTGTTTATTTTATTTTTTTTAAAAACTAAACATTATTTATAAATTTTCTTTTGTTTTTTTTAACGAGAGGATGAATATTTGTATTCTCTTCAATTCTATAAGTAAACAACAACAATAAATGTTCAAGAATTTTAAACTTAAAAAAAATATAATTATTGTATTTAATATTATTATTCTAATTTATTGATAAATTAATTAATAGTTGTTGATTTGTTGTCTTGTAATGACTCTCTCCCACAAGTCAGATAAACGATGGTGGTGTTATTTTAAAGATATTGTATTTTTCTTAGCTTTTGCTCATTTTGTTCTTCTTGGGTGTCTTTTTTATGAACTTTCAAATAACTATATGAGTTCAGTTCACCTAGTTGTTGGGATAGTAGAGCGCTATATAAAGTGGTGGTTTTTCCTGACACCTTCTCCGCTTATCTAAGATAAGGTCTTTACTAAGGAGAACCTGTTTAAGAATAAGGTGTTAGTAAATCTGGAGGGTGTTGCCTACCTCTTGTGTGGAGGGTTGTTATAGTCAATTTTTCATTTGATTTTCACGGTGACTTGACAACATCTGTTTGGTATACGATCTTTAGATATTTATGATGATGTTTAGTTCCTCTTAAAGATCTTGGGACTTTTTTTCTTGTATTTAGAAAGTTTTATATTAGGTCTAAGTTGAAGGATGAATTTTCTATAATCTAGCATTCAGTAGTGCGATTGTTATGGAAATTTCAAAATCATGTGATTTTTACATGTTCTTGTTCAAGCTTGAAAGATGTGACAGATAAGTGCATTTTAAAGGCTTAGAAATAGTGTCTTGGTGTTTACGTGTGTTTTTAGTAAACAATCACGAGTTTAGTTCACTTAAGAGATTAACTCGAAAATCTCAAAGACATAATGTGCAAGAAGAGAATAGTGAGAAAAATGTGTTTGTTTTGGGTTTATAACGTTTAAATAATAAACAACTAGAAACAAATAATAAACTTTGAATAAAGATAATAGACAAGGCGCAAAGTAAATGAAGTAAATGACATTTAATGTAAATGCTTTGAATATAAAAGATTTTGCAGAAAGTTTAAAGGGGTGGACGCATACTCGTATACCTCACAAACTATTTCGCTTGATGACCTGGGTACTTTAGTTCTATAGAGAATCAGTGAAAATTTGTGACCCCGACTATAATGCATAAGCCTGCATTATATACTATTACAAAGATAATTGTCGACAATAGTTAAATCCTCAAAAAAATTGACATGTATCTCATTACTTAGCCCTTCATTGTAACACCACAATATTTAATTATTTATTTAATTGAATATTATTTTGAATATTTATATTAATTGAATTTTATCGTCAAGTCGAGATTATTTTATTAAGTTGGAATATTAAATAATCGGATCTAATTTGGTGAAATTAATTTGAGAATTATCAGTATTATTCTAAGAAGCATAATTGGATAAATATGTTGAGTTGAGCAGTAAGTTGATAGTCGGATAAATTAGACAGTTTAGTAGGAGAACTATTATTAGAATATTATTTGCGAGTTAGTATTATTTAAAGTGTGGATCGATCATAGTTGAAGAATATTATTGAAAATAATATTAGATTATATTATGTGACTATTTATTTAATTGGGTTTATATTGTGATAGTAGTAATCGTGGGGTGTGTATGTAGGCCCACTAAGAGAAACACTATTATTTGGACCATTAGAATGATATATATATATATATATATATATATATATATATATATATATATATATATATATATAGAAAATAAGAAAGAGGAAGAGAGTTAGTGTTATCAGGAAAGAGAAGAGAAAGAGGAAAATATGGTTTTTGGAAAAGAAAAGAGCTACGTGAAGTTGAACCAAGAGGCCAAGAGGAGATTCAAATTGGAGACAATATAGTTATCATCAAACCAAACCAGGTAAGGGTGGGGTTTCTTATCCTATAATGGGGTATATGATATTTTGTATGTGGGAATTAGTATGTGTGACTATTACTGTATGTTGATTTGTGTTGTTGTGATAAACATTATTAATAATTGATGTGATTAAAGAATCGTCAAAGAATTGGTGTATTACTGTGTTATATACTTGTCTGCATTGGATTTGGAATAGTAGACAGTAGAAAAAAATCCATTAAAACATTGAGGGTCTATGCCT